GACAGAGTACGATTGGACACGGTGCAAATGGACACGTTACAAATGGACACGAGATTTTGCACACGGTTCAATTGGACACAGTGCATTTGGACACAGTAATTTTGGATGCAGTAGCTTTTGGACACGTAAGAAAATACGCATCGTTTACTTGGACACCGCTCACTTGGACACTGTTCATTTGGACACCGTTCATGTGGACACAGAAAGACGCGCACCGTTCATTTGGACACCGTTCATTTGCCCACCGTTCGTTTGGACACCGTTCATTTGCCCACCGTAGTTGTAAAGCGGGGTACACCCTGCCTACCGGCGGAGTGGGTGCGGGAGGAGGGCCGAAGGCCCCCCTTGCACCCCCCGTGTGTGTGTGTGTGTATGTGTGTGCGACGGTGTGGACAAAGGTTCTAAAACTGCTACTGAAAAGGAAGCCAAGCCTTTTAAATGTCATTATTGCCACAAACGAGGACACAAAATTTCACAATGCTGGAAAAAGAAGAATGAAAGAGCAGCGTGTGCTGAAGACGCATTTTACGCCATCAATGAAGATACTGATTGCAAGCGTATGGTAAATGAAAAAAATGTCATAAATACTTTTAATGCAAAGTCAGAAGAAACGGATAAATGGTGTCTCGACAGCGGAGCCACGTCCCATATGTGCAAAGATCGCAAAAGGTTTGTCGATTTGCAAACAGTCATAAATCAAAAGGTAAAATTGGCAAATGACAAATTAACAGGAATAAAAGGAATCGGTACCGTTTATTTGTCGTTAGTAGAAGGGACACGAACCCATCGAATAAAATTGGAATATACACTTTACGTCCCTGAATTAAGCACAAACTTGTTTTCTGCGTCAAAAGCTACAACTAATGGGCGCAAAATTTTATTGACAGAAAATGCTGCTTTAATTTTAAATCAAAGAGGCAACAAAATATTAACAGCAAAGAAGAATAAAGGTCTCTATTTTCTAGAATCGACTTCAGACTTCGCCGGCAGTGCCAGTTCAAATGATGGACAAATGAAATTGTGGCACCAACGCTATGGTCACCTGAACATATTCGACTTAAAAAAATTATCGTCCGAAAAGTTAGTCCTCGGCACCCTCGAGTTTTCTCAATAGAATCTTCCTTGCAAAATTTGTGTGCAAAATAACCAAACTGCTAACCCGTTTCCAAAGGAATTAAACACTAAATGTCAAAGATTGTTGGAAATTGTCTCATCTGATGTCTGTGGCTCAATGAGAACAAAAAGTAAAGGTGGCGCTAGATATTTTGCCATATTTCATCGATCATAAATCCAGATGGACAGCAGTTTATTTTCTAAAGTCGAAGGACGAAGTCAAAGAAGCGTTATCGGGACCCCAAAAACAAGAGTGGAAAAAGGCTATGTTCGAAGAATACAAAGCCTTAGTACAACAATAACTTGGACACTCTGTAAACTTCCTAAAAACTCCAAAGCCATTAATTGCTGCTGGGTATTGAGGACTAAATATCGCCAAGATGGATCCATCGAACGAAGAAACGCCCGTTTAGTGGCCAAAGGCTGCGCTCAACGGCCAGGACTTGATTTCGTCGCCACATTTTCCCCGGTTGCAAGACTGAGCTCGTTGAGAATTTTAGTTGCTCTATCAGTAGAGTTGGACCTCACTTTATACCAATTAGATATAGAAATGGCGTACATTAATGGAGAGTTAGAAGAAAACGTGTATATGAAGCAACCCGAAGCCTTTGTAAAATCTGGCGAAGAAAATTTAGTTTGTCTGCTAAAAAAATCAATTTATGGATTAAAACAGTCCGGGCGACAGTGGCACAAGAAGTTAGATTCAAAACTTAAAAATCACGGAATGAATCCATTAAACAGTGACAAATGTTTTTATGTAAAAAGTCTAATCAAAACATTTTGTTTGTTTTAGTTTACGTAGATGACTTAGTGGTTGCTACAAACGATGTCAAACTTTACCATGAATTAATACGATGCTTAAATCGAGAATTTCAAACAAAGGAATTAGACTTATTACATTATTGTTTGGGCATCGAGTTCATTCAAAATCAATCCAATAAGTCAGTTTTTATAAAACAATAAAAGTATGCGAAGGATTTATTATTACGTTTTGGTATGTTAGAATCAAAACCCAAAGCAACTCCGTTAACCCCAAAACTTGATTTATCAAACAAGATAAGTATAACGGAGAACGTGGAGGTAAGTAAACATGAATATCAATCATTAATCGGAAGTCTAATGTATTTAGTAGTAGCGACGCGTCCAGACTTAGTTTACTCAGTAAGTTATTTGAGTCAATTCAATCAAAACCCCAAAAAACAACATTGGCTTGCTATGAAGCATGTACTTAGATATTTGAGAGGAACAACAAATCAAAGTTTACATTTTCAGAAAAGTAGGAAACCAATCTTAGGTTACGCAGATTCAGACTGGGCCTCAGATACAACTGATAGAAGATCTCAATCAGACTATTTCTTTGTGATGGCTAATACTGCAATAACTTGGGAGTCGAAAAAACAAAAAACGACTCTGTGCACTATCTAGCACAGAGGCAAAGTACATGTCCTTAACAGAAGCGACTAAAGAAGCTGTATATCTGCGTAGTATGATGCAAGAATTAGACATAGCTAGTTTAAAAGTGGATAAAATAACTATACATTGCGATAACCTGAGAGCCCAAGCGTTAGTGAAAAACCCCGTACATCATTCTCGTACAAAGCATATAGATCAAGAGACACGGTAGTGTCTCGCGCCAAGTCACGCGAAGCAAAGACCGCGCGTAGTAACAGCGAGGCACCCCGGGTATCTATACGCGAGTCGGATAGTTGAGAGTACCTTAGATTACCAGATCTGAATAACGGCTGAACCGATCGAATTCTTGATAAGCTTAATCGATAGCTTAGGTTCGATTTATATAGGGAAAGTATCTTTATTTTCGCTCTGCATGTTCTATAAAGAAAGATATTACGAAGCAAAGTCGAAATGTGGAAATTTTCATGTAAGAAACGTCACCATCATCATCATCATCATCGTCGTCGTCGTCGTCCCCTTTACCGTTATATATGTACCCAGCAAACACAGAATATAAATATTATATAACATGGAAATAACACGCAATATAACGGATGTTATATCGTAGTTATGTGTAGATGATATAATTTTCCTTCATATACGCAATATAACTGTGTTTTATAATTATTATATTATTCTGTTATGCACTAGTTATTACTTAGTAACATTAATGTAACATGAGTTGAGAGAACCTTAGATTACCAGATCTGAATAACGGCTGAACCGATCGAATTCTTGATAAGCTTAATCGATAGCTTGGGTTCGATTTATATAAGAAAAGTGTCTTTATTTTCGCTCTGCATGTTCTATAAAGAAAGATATTACGAAGCAAAGTCGAAATGTGGAAATTATCATGTAAGAAACGTCACCACCATCATCATCATCATCGTCGTCGTCGTCGTCCCCTTTACCGTTATATATGTACCCAGCAAACACAGAATATAAATATTATATAACATGGAAATAACACGCAATATAACGGATGTTATATCGTAGTTATGTGTAGATGATATAATTTTTCTTCATATACGCAATATAACTGTATTTTATAATTATTATATTATTCTGTTATGCACTAGTTATTACTTAGTAACATTAATGTAACATGATCATATGATGTAAATGTTATAGCAATATTACATAACTTATTATATACATTATATAATTGTTATAAAACTGTTATATTATACTGTTATTTGGCTCAGGTTAGTGATTGGAGGATGCTTTTAGATCCGCAGTAGATCTAGAAGAATATCCCAATGATAGTAAGCACCGTGAGCGCTCACTATATTCGTTTTCCGAACGCAATATTACGTCATGTATCTCATCAAGTATCATCGTGCTGCGCACATGTAATAACAAGGTAATCCTTATATATTAATCTTAATACATTCATTAATATAAACGCTGTATAAAATAATAAATTAATTAGCGCGCATTATTTTTCATTTATTTTTCATAATATTTTCCATGCATTTGTTGATTTCTTGTAAATTCAGTATCTCGAAAAGTAGTAAGGTTATGGTAACAGAATGCTAAACAAAATCATAAAAATATAATTAATCCTAAGGTATGTCATTTCATATGACATTCTGAGACGCATCATTTGAATTCTTTAATCGTTTTTAATAATCACCACGTTGATTTTTACTAAAATTATGTCTATTATGAATTTGGTTTGTTAAAAAAGGTTAGCTTCCATTACGTATCTTGTAGTTGCAAAATGTAGGGCTAATTATTATTTTATTGTTTCTCCATTAAGATTTTAATACAACTTTTATTAAAATTTATATATGTCCCACACACACAGCATGCATATTCTAAAGACATTCTAAAATATTTTAGTCGCAAAACATTGATATTTAAAATTTTGACTACATATATAGTAATAACTTCTGCATTTTTCTATCGGACATTGGATGTAAGTATAATATTTATAATCTTTGTGTTTGAAGCAATTTATTGCATTGATTATTTGCTCAATATAGTTTATAATTTTTGGGCTTATATGCGATGTTCCATTTTACAAGTTAGACTTAAATAACCTCGAAAGAATAAGTTTTATAAAAAAAAATAATTATTGAGTTATCGAAAAGGAACATCTAATGAAATATTTCATATTTTACATCAAGGAAACTCATATAACTAATTAAAACAATACAATAGTTTAAATATATATATATATTTCTAAAAATATATATATATATATATTCTTTCCGAGATTTGACTATTCGGCAGCCCGAATTTTTCATGTTTGACTGGTTATAACTCGATAACTGTCCATTATTGAGCTTTGTGCCCATTACATCTTTTGTTCAGTAGGTCATAAGCTACAACATATGTAAAAACCAATTGATTTGACCGGGACAGATTTTCCATATGATTAGTGCGGGGTTCTTTGTTATATATTTCTAATTTTTATAATTATATTTTTAGATAAAGAAAATTTGGTACCGGGACAAAGCCAGCAGCTGGAGTTGCCAAATGTACCGATTATAATAAAAGGTATGAAAATTTGATTTAATAACAATTAATTATATAATTATATAATACATTTTTTTAAATATATTTTAGAGTATAATCCACCAGCTCACTAGAGTTCACACGATACGAAAATGCAAGGTAAATAATTAGTTTACATTATTTATACTTAATATACAAGTAATATCATCATTATATTTGCTTGATATATTGTTCATTATGTTGCAGAGAGCATAAGTATATTATTACGGATGCAGGCGGCGTCAAACCTCAAATTGAAAGATTTAAAACAGCGTATAATCAACATAGAAGATTTGTTAAAACAGAGAACACCAACGGTTCCAGAAAGCGATAACTTAATCGCACACTTCTTGCCTCCTGATTCTGTGGAAATGATTAGAGAATTGGACTCGAAATTAAAATCATGTGATGAAGCTGTCACGCAATTTGTAAGTAAAGATAAATGTGTATATATATATATATATACACAATAAATTTTTCTTTTTTTATATTCTTTTAGTTACGCCATAGTTTGTTAAGACATTTTTATAATGCAAAATATGTTAGAATATTTTGTACGTATCAATGTAGTTTAACAACTGAGAAAAGTTTCTCTAAAGAACGTTTTTTGTTCAATGAAACTAGTATATGTTACATATAACGTGCATGTTATATTGCATGTTATATTTCGTTATATTTAGGCAATATGATAGTTATATAACAGTGTTTGCTGGGTATACAACACATGCATAGAATATAGTGGTATTATGCTACACGTATATATACACGTACACAACACACATGCAATAATGGCAATGTATTCTTGTACGGTTGGCGTCTTTGACGAAAGATTGCGCTAACGGCGCTTCGTGATGTTACTGCTTGCATCCATACTTGCTTTTGACAGGTATAGGTTAGTAAAATGCCGAGTGCAGTGTTCGTATTGTAAGAATATATTGTGTAGGAAGAGTAAGATAGATTAGAAACACCCGTTAAGTTGACTCGATGAATTCGAGAGGTATCGAGCGGCCGGGCGCGGCGAATGGGAGTGCGACACGGGGTGATTCGATACTTATCAAATCCCCGACGACACGTATAAATTTAGGAGAGAAGCGTGTGAGAAAGAGAAGCGTGTGAGAAAGAGAAACGTGTGAGAAAGAGAAGCAGGTGAGAGAAAGTATTAGAGTCAATTGTGAGGAGCAAGTCGTCGGTTATATTAAATTGAAGAAATAGATTCGTACGCTAAGCCAAGTCGGGCTTACGTAGAAAAGAGACTGGACGGTGGTCAAGTAGGACCCCTCCGGTGTATATTAGTTAATTTGCGGCGAGAGATCGAGGGACGAGCCATAAGAACGCGTGAACCGGGTAGCGCGATTGTGCTACGCCGGCGAGCCACGTGGCAGAAGGCTCGAGAAGAATTCTGCGCCATATTAAGTGAGGTAGAATCGGAGCACGGATTCTGTAAAGTACGGGAGCAATAAACTATATGTCTATATTTAAATGAGCATTTATTTACGAGACAGAAATCACCCTGCCTTTCTCGAGAAATCCTTACAGTTGTTAAAATCAGAAGCGGGATTCGACTTGTTAGCGAAGTTTATGTGCAATGCCGACTCGAGCCCAAGAAGCAGCTAAAGAAGCAGCTCGCTTTGAAGCGTTAAAAGAACGTTTGATGGGATTAACGGACGAGCAGATCCGGGAAGAAGCAGTTTCCCTTGAGCTAAACGCGGAGGGAACCAAAGACTTGTGGACCGTATCCTGGACCACTACGTCAGGAATACGAGCCTTCGAGATGTGGGGAAGCCGCAGCGGTCGGAAGACGGATCAAGGACGCCGCCCGTCCAGGTCGAAGCAACTTCAGGGTTCACACAAGCGGGAGCGCAGCCGGCCAGCGGGGACGTGATGCAGACGTTGCTATTGGGCTTCCAGCAGCAATGTAGGCGCAGAATAAGTTAATGGAGCAGCTAGCGACGTTGGTCGCAAGGTCGCAGGAGAGACGGCCCGTTACTCCGATCGAGGAGGAAGCACAAGGAGCGGCGTTCACGCGAGATAGATCGGGCACGCCTGGTTCCGCTAACAGCCGACTAAACGGAGGTAATATAGTAAAAATAATATCTCCTCAAATACCTATATTTGAAGGCTCCGAAAGAGACAACGTGCGGAAATGGCTCGAGCGAGTAGAGTACGTCGGAGGCCTGTACGAGATAAGCGAGAATGTCCTGCTGTTAGCGGCTACCGGTCGTCTCGCGGGGAATGCCATGGATTGGTACAACCGCCAATCAACCGCAACGATTTCCTCATGGGCCGAGGTTAAAAGAGGACTACAGGAATATTTCGAACGGAAGGTCTCGTTTACGCTGGCGATGGCAAAAATTAGTGAGCGAGTGTGGCAGCACTCAAGAGAAAAGTTCATCAATTATGTGAACGATAAATTAAATCTTATGCAATTCCTAGATCTGTCGGAGAAGGATCAAATCGATCTGATAGCGGCAGGTATCAGGCTGCCGATGATCCAGGTTGCCGCCATGGATGCAGTGATGCCAGTTTTGAGACGCTGCTACAGCCACAGCGTGTGGAGGGGATAACTCACACAAGCGTGAACCGTGTACGTATAATGCGCAGAACGCTCTGCGGTAGACGATATGCGGATAAAAACAGTTAAAGATAACTATCAAGTCCGGGTCAATATAAAAGATGACTCAGTTTACGCGTACGCGCCTCGACGAATGTCTTACAACGAAAAATTAAAATTAAGAGAAATTACCGATGATTTGTTGGAGAGAAGAATAATTGTTCAAAGTAGTTCTCCTTATTGTGCGAAAATCGTACCGGTAACGAAAAAAAATGGAAAAACACGTATGTGTGTGGATCTTCGTCCTCTAAATCAGAGAATTCATAAACAGAAGTTTCCAGCTCCGATCATAGAAGACCAAATAAATAGCTTACAAGGGAAACAGGTATTTACGGTTCTCGATTTGAAGGACGGATTCCATCAGATTGATGTACACCCGGACGATACAAAATATTTTTCGTTTGCGACGCCAGATGGGCAATTTGAATATGTAAAATTACCGTTTGGATACGCGAACGCCCCGGCGGAATTCCAGAGAAGAATTTTGCAGGTTTTTCAGCCACTAATTCGCGAGGGAAAAATACTCAGATATATGGACCATTTTGGGCCGTTGGAAACTTCGCCAGAAGGTTATAAATGTATATTAGTAATAATCGACGCGTTCACGAAGTACGTCTGGTTAATGCCTACGAAAACAACAAACACGAGAAAGGTGGAAAAGAATCTCTCATTTTTATTTAATATTTTTGGTGTGCCGCAACGAGTGGTTAGTGATAGAGGCACTTGCTTCACGTCGCAAGACTTTGAAAAGTTCGTGGCAAAGTGTAAAATGAAACATGTAAAAGTAGCGGTCGCTTCGCCGTGGGCGAACGGACAAGTCGAAAGGGTAAACCGTTTCATAAAAAGTACCCTTGCGAAAACTACCGACGATCCGATAGATTGGAAAGCGAATTTAAATGACGTTCAATATGTACTAAACACACACAACAAAGCGATCAATACAACACCGAGTAATCTGTTATTAGGCTATAACCAGCGAAACCATAAAGATAAGGATTTATGCGAATTTATAGATAGGTTAACTAGAATAAAGACTGAGATATTAGAAAGGCGAGCAGCGATGCGTGATAGTGCGCAAATAGCAAATAAAACAATGCAGGAATACAATAAAACGTATTACGATAGGAAACATAAGAAACCGTCAATGTATAAAGAGGGAGATTTAGTAATGATAAGGAGTTTAACGGTTAAGCCGGGAATGAATTAGAAGTTGCTTCCCAAATACAAAGGGCCATACGTAATAAAGGCAGTACTCAAAAAGAACCGATACGTAGTCGCGGACAAAGAAGGGTATAATCGCACGCAAAAATCGTACAACGCGATACTTTCCTGTGATAAACTAAAACCGTGGATACGGGTGGGAAGTAACTCTGATTCAACCGAAACCGAAACCGAAATCGAAACCGAAACCGAAACCGAAATATAAGTAGAAAATAAGAGCGAAGGCTGTGGAAAAGACTGAAACATTATAACTGTACTTGTATATACCAAAGTCTATCGTAAGAGTTAATTAATTATAAGAATAGTAAACGTGCAATAGGGTGATAGGAAAAAACGATATTGTAAATTGTAAGACAGCGTTCGAGGTCGAACGACATGTCAGGCTGGCCGAACTGTAAAAATATATCGTGTAGGAAGAGTAAGATAGATTAGATACACCCGTTAAGTTGACTCGATGAATTCGAGAGGTATCGAGCGGCCGGGCGCGGCGAATGGAAGCGCGACACGGGATGATTCGATACTTATCGAATCCCCGACGACACGTATAAATTTAGGAGAGAAGCGTGTGAGAAAGAGAAGCGTGTGAGAAAGAGAAACGTGTGAGAAAGAGAAGCAGGTGAGAGAAAGTATTAGAGTCAATTGTGAGGAGCAAGTCGTCGGTTATATTAAATTGAAGAAATAGATTCGTACGCTAAGCCAAGTCGGGCTTACGTAGGAAAGAGGCTGGACGGTGGTCAAGTAGGACCCCTCCGGTGTATATTAGTTAATTTGCGGCGAGAGATCGAGGGACGAGCCATAAGAACGCGTGAACCGGGTAGCGCGATTGTGCTACGCCGGCGAGCCACGTGGCAGAAGGCTCGAGAAGAATTCTGCGCCATATTAAGTGAGGTAGAATCGGAGCACGGACTCTGTAAAATACGGGAGCAATAAACTATATGTCTATATATATTTAAATATAAAAGACAGCATTTATTTACGAGACAAAAATCACCCTGCCTTTCTCGAGAAAACCTTACAGTATGCTTTCATTTATAAAAAAGTGAAGATGCAAAATTTTTTGTAATACTTGTGGATACCCTGCCGAAAATGGTCGATTAAAACCAATTAAAACATAATCCGTTTTAATCGGTTTTAATTGGTTCAATCCGCGCCCTGATTAAAAAGTAATCGATTTTAATTCCGACAGAACTATAATCGGTTTTAATATCGCTTTCGCGGATTATTTCCAATCTAAAATCATTACATTCTAATCCATATTGTTGTCAATCCAAATAAACACGAATAATCAAATGGATATTGTGGCTGCCGCAGGTCACATTAAGCACAATCCGCGATACAATAGTACGACCCGCAACTTGGCGGCCCACGCGCTCACGCGTCCGCGCGTAGTTCCGAGCTTTACTTTTTTATAAATGAAAGAGTGCTACGCTATATAATGTTGCACTCTGGATAATTTAACGTCAAATACCTGTCAAAAACCAGTATGCATAACTGCGAACAGTAATATAGGCATACGCACACAAGAATCTAGTATATTTGAATGCATTTGTTAAAGGAGTGTCATCATATAGTTATTCGTCATGCATCATATGACTACAGATAAGTATAAATAACATTGGTGAAATGCAGTCTGTGTAAAGTTAATGCATGTCTTATGAATAATTTATAAATATACATTTATTTTTCAGTGGAAGTAGAAGAATTTTTTAAGTTGTTGATAAGATTTTGACAAAGCCTGTGGCATCATGTTTATTGCAAATCAACATATTATAGTTAATTCTTATTTCGATGCGAATATAAATAATCGTAATATAAATATACATAATATAAATATTATATATAATACAATATTAATATTAGATATATGCTGAAAAATAAAGAGATCGTATCATAAATTGAAATAATAAAGCGGATATTGTATAACGGTCGTTGATTTTCTTCGCGACCCCACCAGGTGAATGACAGCGTTACTGAGTCCTTTAATCCTTCTTTCACGCACAGATTTACTGCTTCCTTTAAATTGAATCCGCCGATGTATTTGAAATAATCCACCTAGGCAAAGTATTGAAAAATAATGTTAATGCATATTTCATATAGACGACAGAAAGTTTTTATATTTGTTTACTTACAACTTCACGATAATCATTATCATTGATAGTCTCAAAAGCATCCATCTCGGCCACGGATAATATGGGCAAACAGGCTGGCTTACGCGGTACGCGATTGCGGTCATTGTTGCTTTGCACACATCTCAGGAGGTTGTGCAGCAAACCATTCATTCTTCTATAAATAAAATATAATAAAAGCATCTATATTACAGAAATCATGTGTTAATCGATACATTTGATTTACTTACTTGAGCTCGGCATCAATGCTGCTCAATTTTTCCTGCGTTACCCAGACAACATTATGTCGTCTTAAAAACGTCTTAAAGACGTCTTAAAATTACTAAGACGTCTTACGAAATCTCCAGAAAAACGTCTTTTAGATGTCTTTAAAACGTCTTATGCGTCGCTTGCTTTTTTTGTTGTACGTTCTGTAAAATAAGTATATTATTAAGAGAAATATTAACTTATACTAAAGAAATGAATAATACAAAAATATAAATTACTATTGTCGTTAGAATCGTCCAACTCGTCATAAAAATAGGTCTTTTTATTATTCTTTTTTGCAGGTTTTCTGCTGGTTGGGTAAGCCTTTTCAGCTGCCCTTCTTCCGAGGAGGAGATATAAATAGCCTCTTTTTCTATCTTTCGAGCTATTTCATACGTTTCTATGGAAAATAATAAATTATATTTTATAACATTAAGGGAAATGTTTAAGACTATTTATTTTGTAATATAATTAATTGTTTATAATTACTATATGGTCCCATGATGCGTCGGTAAGTGCGTATAATCCAGTTATTTTTTGGCGGAATATTTTTTATTATTGCTTTTGTCACATTTATTTTTTTTGGAGGCCATAAAAATGTTTTATTTTCCAGATTTGTCCACAATTGTGGTACTGTCGAGCACCAATCGTTATAAAATATAATGTAATACATGACCTAAAAAAATATTTTTGTGAAAATAATAATTATATTTAAAGTGTTTTTCATTAAATTTGATTTTATTAAATATTTAATCTTTATACTCAAGTCTTACAATTATATATGCAAAAGAGGCATTAACTGCTCTGATTTTTACATAATAATTTTTATCTTTAAAAAAATATCCTTTTTTTTGTAGGATGCGGTATTCATTACAGAATTCTAATAGTAAATTGCTTGCATCTATAGGTTTTTTATAACCGTGATAGGCACCGATCAAAAAAGGTTCTGTTATGAATTCTATATTATAGATTTGGCCAAGTATATGCCATAATTGACTCTGTGAACTTTTAGAAAGAGGATATGTAATTGTATAGCCATTGTAAAAAACTTCTAAGCCTTTATTGTCTATTTCTCTTGCAGATATTTCTCTTCCAGATCTAATGTTTTACTATTTGTTATATATATTTTCATATT